ATGGTAATAGTGCCTTTAATGTACCTGAGAATCCGTTTGAGTAGAATGAAATCTGAAACTGTAGGAGCATGCATCTTTTGGCACACATAGTTGACAGCATATTGAAGATCTGGTCTTGTTAAGGTCAAGTACTGCAGTTTTCCAGCTAAACTTCGAAAATACTTTGGATCTTCAAAGAGAACATTCTGATGAGGAGTGTTTTCAACCTGTTGCGGTAAAGGCGTAGCAACAGAAGAGCAATTTGACATTGCAGCAGTAATTAGAAGGTCTTCTGCATATTTATGTTGAGAAAGAAACAGCCCTCCTTGATGAAATTGAGCTTGAATTCCCAGAAAATATTGAAGCTTGCCTAGGTCTTTCATTCTGAATTTCTTATGTAGTTCATTGAGGAGCAGAGACAGCAAAGTAGAGGAATTACCTGTAATAACCATATCATCCACATAAAGAAGTAACATGATGACATTCTTGTCTTTGACACAAACAAACAATGAAGGATCTGCCATGCTGCAAATAAAACCAAAATCCAGAAGAAAATTACTGAATTTGTCAAACCAGGCTCTAGGAGATTGTTTAAGGCCATATAGAGATTTATGTAATAGGCACACATGATCTGGATAATCTTTATCAATGAATCCAGCTGGTTGCCTCATGTACACGGTTTCTGTAAGATCACCATGTAAGAAAGCATTTCGAACATCCATTTGTTTTAACTCCCAATTCATGATTGTAGCAAGATGAAGAACAGTCCTTACTGTTGCAGTTCTGACAACCGGACTATAAGTTTCAAGATAATCAATTCCTTCTTCCTGTTTGAAACCTTGAGCAACTAACCTGGCCTTGAACTTATCGAGAGATCCATCAGCATTGAGTTTGACTCTGAAAACCCATTTAGAGCCTAGTATATTCATATCAGGTGTAGGTGGCACCAAAGACCAAGTCTTTGTTTCAGAGCAGTTCTCCATTTCTTCATTACAAGCATCAGTCCATCTTTTATCCTTTAGAGCCTCTGTAATGGTAGTCGGCTTAGGGTATGTGACTTTATGAGCAAGAAGGGCATACCGTTTGTTTGGTTTACAGATTCCAGCTTTTGATCTTGTAATCATCGGATGAGTAGAGTTTTGAGTCTCGATTGCAGCATTTTGTTCTGAAGGGACAAAACAAGGTAATGATGAGTGAGCGCTGTTGCCTATAGGAACAAGATCAGAGCTTGCCGTACACCCAGTACACTCCTCATCATTAGCTTGCATTGTTTCAGAATTTGTTGCAGTATCAAGAGCTTGTGAAGTTGTACTTGCAGGAACAGGAATTGCAGGTGTTGTAGCAGGAACAGAAAATGCAGGAACAGAAATTGCAGGAACGGGAATTGCAGGTGTTGTAGCAGGAATTTCAGATGCTAGAGTTTCTTCAGCAGTACCGGTAACTTGAGTCCCTGTAGCTAAAAGAATAGGAGTTAAACCAGAATAATTTGAGTCTACAGCAGAGCTTGAGATTCCTTTTAGCCAGGCTGTGTATAATGGAGTTGGTGTGAACTGCTTGCAGTGATTGTAAGCATTTGCAAATGGAAAAGACGCCTCATCAAATAAGACATGGCGGCTGAGATATACACGATTTGTTGGTGGATAGTAGCAACGGTATCCTTTATATTTTTCAGTATAGCCCAAGAAGATACACTTGAGAGAGCGTGGATCAAATTTATTCGCTGCATATGCCCTTAGAGTGGGAAAACAGGCACAACCAAATATTCTCAATGCTGAGTAATCAGGAGGTTTACCATGTAATGCTTCATATGGGCTGATGCTTGTAGACAGAGCACTTGTGGGAAGAAGATTACAGAGAAAATTTGCAGTGAAGTAAGCTTCCACCCAGAAGCTTTGTGGAGTTTGGCTTTGAAACATTAATGTGAGAGCCATCTCAGTAAGTTGTCTATGCTTGCGCTCTGCTACTCCATTTTGTTGAGGAGTGTGAGGGCATGACATATAATGTTGAATACCAGATTCTTGAAGATGAGTGAGAAATCTCTGACTAATGAATTCACCACCACCATCAGATTGAAATATAACTATCTTATTTTGCAACAAATTTTCCACAAGCAGTTGAAACTTGATGAAAACTGAGCAGAAATCAGATTTTCTTTTTAAGGGATATAACCAACAGTATCTTGAATAATGATCAATGAATACCACATAAAATCTGAATCCTTGAACAGAAGATACAGGAGATGGACCCCAGAGATCACAATGAATTCTCTCTAAAGGCCTTGAAGCAGTAAAAGTAGAAGAACTAAATGGCAATCTTGAACTCTTCCCAAGCTGACATGCTTCACACACACTGCTGGTACTTTTATTGACTTGAATTGCCTTATTTGTAGATAAAAGTTTGAGAACCTGAGAGTTTGGATGCCCTAGCCTTTGATGCCAAACTTCATCACTGGTTTTGGTTTGTCTCGTAGAGTAGAACGTCTTAAACTTCGGATCCTCCAACTTGTAAAGACCATCACTTTCCTTTCCCTTTGTCAGAACATTGAGAGTTGCTTTGTCCTTGATAACAACATCATCAGAATCAAATGTGAAGGAACATGGGTAGTCTTTTGTCATTCTTGAAACAGACAAGAGAGGTTTAGCAATTTCAGGACAAACCAAAAACATCATAGAGAGGAAGATTACCTGATGTGGAAGGTAGTTTTGCTGAACCTATGTGAGTAATAGGAAGGAAGTTACCATCACTTGCCATGACAGTGTCATTACCAAGGTATGGCTGAGCTTGCTGGAGCTTGTGAGTGCTGTTGGTGATGTGAGCAGTTGCAGCAGAATCCGGATACCAGCTATTTTCATCAGTGACATCAGTGATATGAAGAGCAGAGAAAGCAGCATTAGTGTTTTCTTGGAGCTGGTAACTCTCATCAAACCTATACCAGCATTGTAAGGCATGATGACCTCGTTTTGCACAGATTTGGCAAGTTGGTCTGTCACTGGAAACTGATGAGGAGTTTGAAGATACATTTGAAGAGAATTGTTGATGAAAACCTCTCCCACGTGTTGAATAGTTGCCTCGACCTCTGCCTCTGTTACCTCTACCACGTTGCTGAGAAGACCTCATAGTGTTGAAGGCCAAGTGTGGTGAGACATCAGATGAAACAGAGTATCCTTGCAGGCGATCATCATAGCCAGTGAGACGCGAAATGACGTTATCGTAAGTTGGCTCAGGAATACGGTCCATGGAATCCTCAATGACAGTGATGATAGGCTCGTATTCACGACCTAAACCTCTAAGAGCGGCAAAAATTTTCATCTTTTCACTAACCGGATCTCCTATTGAAGCTAGCTGGTCACAAATGTCTTTTATTCCTCTAAGATACTCAGACATATTCTTGTCTAGCTTTTCAGCATTTTGAAGACGTCTCTGAAGCTCAAACAGTCTAGAAGAAGAGGTGCGATTAAAGTGAGAGATAAGTGTTTCCCATACCTCTAGAGCTGTGCGGGAACCAACAACAAGACGCAAAACATTTTCACTCATAGAACCAAGCAGCCATGCCTTGACTACTTGATCAGATCTAGACCAGCTTTCAAAGTCAGGATTTGATATTTCTTCCACCTTTCCATCGTTGTTATTACGGACGGGAATGGTTGCTCGAGGAGGCTGGATGACGCCATTGACGAAGCCTAACAAAGATTGAGTTTGCAGAAATGATTCAAACTGAGATTTCCAAATGATGTAGTTTTGCTCGGTGAGCTTTATGGTGACACAATTTGAGATGTGTAAAGAAGGAGAAGAATAGAGCTCCATGGTGCCGTCCATGGCTCTGATACCATGAAAGAAGAAACAGAACAAAGAAAGATTGTTTCTTTTGTTATTCAATCCTTAAAAGAAACATTACAGAGAGCAATGCTCTTATATAGGGTTACACATTGATTTGCCCTAATCTCTAGATTGTTCTTCTTGTCTTCTTACGTGGCATCACCATCGTCGCTTGATCTCAATGGCTCAAATCGGTTCGTTGTTTTGATTGCAGGTACGGACTGCTCTGCAGTTTTGTCTTCTGCTGCAGGAGACCGTTGCACAGTCTTGAGCGTAGGCGCGTGGTTGATGGACGCTTGTGTTGTTGAGCTTTTGTTGGGCCTGCGACTGATATTGGGCCTGTGAATTGCAACATTGTTAATAAGCAGCACCACCAAAGTGAGAAACTTTCATACAGGTCGTATGGTTTTGTCCGGGAAAGAAGACGGAATCTCCATTACATTAGGGATATTTATTACCTTGTGTATATTTGGAATTATCCAAATCTTTAGAGGAATTGGAACATCTGATCCTAGATGTTACTATTAGCTAGTCTGTCACTGGTAATATAAATGAAAACATTTTGCATTTCATCGGTAAAGGCTTGATGCATTACTAATAATGGATATTAGCCATATTGAAAAGGAAGTTATTGCTTATTTGTTTTCACATACTTCCCTCATTTCATATCCCAGTAAGGACCATGAGCATTAACAATTTAGCATACACTCTAGACCAGTTTCTTCAGTTCTGTTGTTGTTTTGGTTGTCGATGATGAGTATAACTTGAAAACTATCTCATACATTGAACGACTTCTTAGAACTGCCGCAGGATTTATAAACTCCAGACAAATGGGTGTTATCAAATACAACAGTCTTAAGTTTTCACGACTCATTTTATTGATACTTTGCTCTGTTCTTGTATTCTTTGATTTGAATCTTTTTATTTTTTCCTCATAGTTCAAAACAGAGAGAAACTCGCCAGAAGAACAAATCTTAAACCTCTTCAAATAACCCGTGTTGATCTCCAAACTCTTATTGTATTCAAATAGCCTGCTAACTTATGCTTCGTAGTTTTACTTCTTTTATTTTTGTTGGTCAACTCATTGTACTGTACAACCACCCCAATAAAAAAAAAAACACAACAAGGTAGCCGACCAATCCCAAACACGAAGTAACTAAGTAATCGGAGAAGACTTTATAACCATAGATAGCTAATATTTTGTTCAACATCACTCTCATGGCTTCTTCCTCTTTGACTCAGGTCTACCTGAGTTTCCACGGCCCAGACCTTCCTAGAGTATTTCTCAATCATTTACACGATCACTTTGCACGCAAGGGAATGACGACGTTCAAGGAGGTCAAAACAGGCCAGACGATCGGACCTGAATCCCTAAAAGCGATAAGAGAATCGAGAGTCTCGATCGTGGTGCTATCTAAGAATTATATATCATCAAGATGGTGTTTGGATGAGCTGGTTGAAATCTTTAAGTGCAATGAAGCTTCGGGTCAGATGATTGTGATGCCTATTTTTTTACCAAATTAGTCCGTCCCTTGTACGGCTACTAGAGGGGGAATTCGGAAGATGCTTTATTGAGAGAACTTGTCAAGGGGAAACAGAGGAAGTGAAGAAGAGATGGAGCAGTGCTTTGGCACATGTAGGATCTCTCCGTGGAGATTATTCTCTATTCTGGTTTGTTGTTTCCTTTTGGCTCAATGAATAATTACTAGGCTTCTTAATCAATAATATGGTTGAGTTTCTGAAAATTCACTCCTCCACCAATATTGTTTTTGTTTTCTTTATCTTAGGGATGATGATGCGGCAATGGTTGGAAATATTGCGGCTCGTGTTTCCCGCATACTTAAAGGGTAAATACTGCGGTTTGTGTTTCCAGGATACAAGCAACAGCGAATCACACATATATAAGATTAAAAACACATATATGTCTTATGAACACATTTAGATCGGTCTCTTCTTCCTTCTCTTCACGACTCTACGGTGGCGGGATGGTGATGGTCCTGTGTCACCTTCTCCGTTCGCCTCCCGTCTTCCTGGCTCGCCGGTGGTCCTGAGCCGGCGAGTATCCGCAGCTTTGTGGGGAGGCGGCTACGATTAGGTTTTCTGATAGTAGATTAGGGTTTCTGATTTAAATTGGTTAGCTACCGGTTTAGATTAGTTTTAACCCGGGTCGATTTTGGTTTGGTTATCTGGTTTGGTTTGATGTAATTGGACTGGGTCTTAAGGGGATTAATGTATGGGCCTATTCCGAAAATAGTACATTGTACATATGTTTTTAATAAATTGCAAGCCTTTTACAAAAAAAAAAAATATATATATATATATGTCTTATGAAAGAATTGTATTAGACTCTAACTCTATATAAGAATAAAATACAAATTACATTATCTTATATAGAGATGGAATAAATCAATGAATCTATGTTTCTTGAATTAAGATAAACATTGTATAATGAACTGTATTGACGATGAATAATGTTAAACTTTCGAAACTTAAATATTAACAATATTTATGAATAATCCTCTAGAAGTATATAGTCTTTTTTCCATATATCTTGGACTTGTCATCTTGATCATCGATTTATTTAGTAGAACACCAGTTCTTCATCTCCCAATAGTTGGTGATCTAAGGATGTTGAGTTTTGAGTTCCTGACTAAATCCTGCAACAAAGAAAAAGAAGAAATCAGTGAAGATGAAGAGATGAAGAAGTCGTCAAAGAAGTTGTCGAAGAAGAGGAGTCAATTAAAGAGAAGAAAGTCAATGAAAGAGCTTGTGGGCTCAGAGTGGGTTTGTTGTAAAGGGCCTGAAGTGAAGTAAGGCCCAAATAAAGAAGAAGTGTGTTTGTGTGTTTAAGTCTAGGCTAAGCAAGTAGAGTTGATGTTGTGTAATAGTTGTTGGTAAACCTTGCTTGTAAGCTTGGTTTTATCCTAGAGTGATGATGCCTACAAGTAAGGTTAGGCCTAGATGTAGAAGCATGGTGCAAGTGTGTGTGAGAAGCACTATATCTATGCTTGTGTGTTGTGTAAGAAAAGAACATTTTTTTCCCCCTTGAAATTTCATTGATAAGCATAAGAAAGGATACATGGTAGGATGCATATGCCCAAACGAGGGAGACTAAAGCCAGCAGACGACATACATGTACTAAATGCAATGTAGTCTTTAAGGTAAAATTGTGTGTTCTTGTGTTTTCTCTCTAAACAAGAACTAAAACAGAGAGTGAATCAAAGAGAGAGATAAAGAATGAGAGAACTATAACCTTGAGAGGTTGGGATGTGAGAATTACAACAAAGGAAGACACTAAACACAGAATGAGAAAGCCTCACCTAAGCTGAAGCCGGTTGCAAGTAGAACGGAGGAAGAGATCGTAAAGAAAGCAGACGAAAATGATTTGGTATAGACGAGGTCCCAAGGAGAAAGCTTTTCGGAAAAGATAAATCCCAAGAGCCGATGCCAATATGAGAAACAATTGTCAAGCGAATCTCAATTGTGAAAGAAGAAAAAAGAAAAGGAGAGTGCGAAGAAAATCTGTCAAAGAGATGATAAAAAATATTCACAAATTGAAGAAACTTGGCCATGCATACAGATTCAGCTTGTCATGTAATATACACTCCAGACCAGTTTCTTCAGATTCAGCTTGTCATGTATTATTATACACTCCAGACCATTTTTAGATTCTTGTGTCGTCTATCAAGAACGGAAAGACATGCAACACTATCCAAAAGGAACAACACCAACTAAAGCAAGATAAAGATTTTTTTTATTTTTTAATTAAATGTAACTGCCGCCATAAACGATCGTTAAAATTCTTTCAGATTCCATGCGGGAAACTAAAAAAGAAAGAACATTATTTATTCACAGGCTAATTGACTAGTTTAGTAGGTCCGATATTTTTAGTCGGCCAGATTAGTCAGAAACTTACCCCATAAGAATCAATAATAGGGTAGAAATCTTGAACAGGGAAGGTAAACAACTAAACCATAAACTCAAATATTAAGGTAATTAGGTGATTACGCGATACCAATTAGAACACACCTACTCTATTAAGGCTCAGAAATTGGGGAATTTTAGAAGATGATACTTGTTATCTTTGTGAGATCTACTTTGAGACAAGGGATCATCTCTTTCTAAACTGCCCAATATAGTTATGACCTTTGGATATGGGGCCTTGAAAAACTTCAGATCCCATTCGCTGGCTTCAACAATTGGGATAGGTTCTTCATGTGGCTAAAGACTCCATCAAATGACCCAAAAATGGCGCCATTAAAGCTTCTTTTGGCACAAGCAGTTATTTACTTTCTTTGGCATGAACGAAATGCTCCCATCTACACATGTACTCGCACTCCGGTCGAAGCTCTTTTCCCTATCTTTGATAGGCGAAGCCGAAACACTTGCCTAGCGAGGAAAGACATCCAAGGCATGCTTAATCTATAGAGGACTCTTTCTCTGATATATATATATATATATATATATACTTATTGTATCCTTTCTTATGGTCCTTGTACCGGGTTTGTTCATCCCGAAGTTCGTTGTCGTTGTGGCACCTTTTATCTATTTCCATGTAACCGTCAAAGTTATATATAATACCAGAAATTTTATTAAAAAATTAGAACACACCTAACCCTCTACCTACTACAAAAGCTTATATATCTATATATAGATAATAGACCAACATCTTGTTATTCAGTCTCTCATGGCTTCTTCATCGTTGACTGACATAAAGAGATACCACCAGGTATTCCCGAGCTTCCATGGCCCAGACGTTGGTAGAGAATTCCTCAACCATGTTCAAAATCAATTTGCACGAAAGGGAATGAGGACGTTCAATGATCAGGGGATCGAGAGAAGCCACACCATCGGGCCTGAGGTCGTGCAAGGGATTAGAGAATCGAAGGTCTCAATCGTTGTGCTCTCGCCAAATTATGCTTCTTCGAGATGGTGTTTAGATGAACTGGTTGAAATCATCAAGTGCAAAGAAACCTCGGAGGAGATGATAGTGATGCCTATTTTTAACCGAGTTTCTCCATCCAATGTGCGGATTCAGAACGGAGCTTTCGGAAAAGCTTTTGACAAAACCTGTGAAGGCGAAACCAAGGAAGTGAAGAAGAGATGGAGCAATGCTTTGACACATGTAGGATCTCTTCGTGGGGATTATGCTCTACTCTGGTTCGTATGAATTACTATCTTTCTTATTCATAACTTTGATATAATAATGGTGGACTTAATTTATTTGAACCACCAGTAACAACATTTTTGTTTTCTTTTGTTAGGGATGATGACGCTAAAATGCTTGAAGATATTGCTACTCATGTTTCCCTCATACTGAAGGATAAGTGCTAGACTAGGCAAATGCGTTGCCTTTTGTGTTAGTTTTTCTTTTTTTCCCCCTTAATAAACGCTTCCTTGAGTCCTTCCTCTATTTAGAGTTTGTTGGTAGTTTCGAGTGCTAAAGATAGAAAACTAGAATCAACTTTCAACTCCCACTCACTATGCAAAGTTGCAACATTAGTTTGATTTGGCGATACGTATGATCTGAAATTGGATAGTGACACGAGAGTTTTGCACCGCCGGAATCTCCGTCATTTGATCGGCGATGAGCAACAACGGAGCGAAGAACTTTGGTTCCACTGGCCTTTCGTAGTTATGAGATAATAAATAAGTGAACCCAAAATTAATATCCGGTTAATTCGGTTTTGTACGGTTCAATTTTAGGTGATCCCGTGTTGGCGGGTTCATTCCGAGATTAAACGTAAAATAACAACCGAGTAAAAATAATTAACTTATCTTTTTGCTCTTCTCCGGCGGCTAATACGATTTTCTGATCCGAGCAATCTCAGTCCAAAGCTTGCCGAATCTGATAATCTCTGGTTCGTTTCTATTCTTTCGTTGATTTTTTTCTTACTTATCTCCCTTCTTGCGTATGTATACGATTTGGGGGTCTTGATGCTTCTTTGAGAATTTTCTACAAGTCGAAACACATCTGTTAATGTTTCTACTTTCTAGGTTTTTCAACTGTTGGGTTTAGATTTTGTTTTTGATCCAATCTAATATTTCGTTGAGAGTTATTTATGAGTGATGAACCAACTACATATATGATTCTTGATTTCACTGCATTGTTGTTTTTCGAATATGACCATTAGTTCGTCTAATAGATTACAGTTTTTCATATTGTGGAGCTATTATAAACATTATGTTTCTTCTTTCCTTTTTTACTAAATCAAATGATGCTTAGTGGTAAAAGTTCAGTATTGTTACTAAAAAGACAAGTTCTTTTACATGTTCCTTGTAATAATAAAGGTGGCTGTAAGACTGGTGAATTTTTTATTACTCAGAAGGAATGGCGAACAAGATTGCATTCTTTCTCTCTGAAGCAGTGAACAACAATGCTGTATTAAACACATGTCTTGGAGTATCCTTTGTGGTTTTGGGACTCAGATCTCATCAACAGCAAATATATGTTGAAGCCTTAGCAGAGCAGAAAGTTTTGCTCTTTAAGTCTAATAAGGAAATCAATGTCGCTATGTGGGAGGGGAAACAGCTACTCTTTGCTGAAGCTGATGCCCCTGAAGGTGTTGTTTCTTTGTCCACGCTTAAGGCCATCTATGGTGAAGTCACCACAACTACACATTCTGGTAATTTACTCTCTCAACTACCCTCTCTTTTGTTTTCATTACCAGTCATCTAGTGTAGAATTTTTCTGTTATATTTTTGTTTAGTACATATCTATACAAACTAAAGTCATGTCTGTCCTACCCAAAAAAAAAAAAAAACTAAAGTCATGTCTGTCTATATGTCACCAGTATCAACAACAGACAAAGATTATGCCTTATATCTAATAACTGAACAGGGCTTGCTGTTTTTGACAACATTTAGCTATCCGTGGACCGTGGTTGATGTGTGTAATTAAGGATAGTTTCTTGATTTGCTTGGTGCGAGAGAGCATACTAGGCTAGCTTTATGGGTTGATTACATATTTACATGTCGTGCTTATCGAATACAAAGAGAAAATGGGTTTAGAATCGATATAATTAGTGCCCAACGAGAAGGGAATTGGATATGATCATGATTATGAAGTCGGCTTGATATTCACAAACTGGTTTTATCTTTCTACTTCCAGGTCACATAGTCAAGGAAGAGTCCAAAGTGTCTACACTCAAGATCATGATTTGAGAGGTTGTTAAATTCTTTGGTAGGTTCATTTCACTTAATATTATTCACTCAGCAAAAGTAAAGATTAGCATTTAGTCTCATAAATTGCATTTTTAAACTAGTTTGGCAGCGATTTTTTGTTGTTCTGATCCTTTTTCTGTTCTACCTGGTCAGTATACAGTAACCGAAGCTCCTAAAATAAAGTCAGATCAAGACCCTCTCTTGGGTTGATTGTTTTTGTGAAGGCTTTTCATGAAGGGTCGACCCATAATGAAACAATCCAATCTTCTTCTTTTTGGAGGAAGTCGACAAGAGTAGTGCTCACAGTTTAGAAGCTCTCCAGGTGTTTCTATAAACATTTATGCAAGCAATTGTTGAACATTTGCAACGTCTTGAGTGGCTTAGTTTACGCGGCAGAAACATCAAGAGAGTAACACATGTCCCGCACAGCGTAACGCATCTAGACCTAACCACCTAAGCAATAATGGTATAGAGGCGATTCCAGAGTGTGTCATAGGTCTCCCCAACTAGAAAGTACTTTCGTCTACAAATGCAGACAACTTGTGCCACTGCAAGGTCTTCCCCCTTCGCCCAAGTACATTGATGCAAGCAATGTGGATCACTCGAGAGAGTATGTTTCTCTTTTAATGATCTAATCAGTTTCCTCATGTTTCAATATTGATTTAATCTGGATGAAGAAGCCAGAAGAGTGATCTTACAACAATGTATGGTTACCACGTAGAGAGGTTCCTGCAGAGCTCACTCCCGGTGGTTCTGGATGGTGAGGGAACTTTCTCAGCATCCTCTGGACCTAAAGCTTGCCTCGTGCATCCCCCCCCTACCACGAAGCAAGCATCACTTGCTATAACTTGCCGTATAAGAACCAAAGCAGGTGCCATCATTACCGAACTTAACTGGAACTATTGAGTATCAAACAAAACAAAACATATGTCTATATGTCATCCAAACAATGGACGCTACTCATAAAGTTATAGAAAACTCCATTACCATTCCTATGGGTTTGGATGGCGAGGGGACTTCTCAGCATCCTCAAGATTCAAGGCTTGCGTTCTGCTTTCGCCAATTAAGGGATATCCACATTTTGATATAGTAACTTGTCGTCTAAGAAGCAAAGAAGGTCTCCTCCTAAACGAAGTTGAGTATTGGATTTTCTTGAAGTTAGGGGCCCAATATCATCAGTCATTATCAATAATAAAAAATGGTTTAACCATCGAATTATAATATTTTTGGGTCTACATGCTTCACAAGATCAAATTTCTGATTTATCGATTAAAAAATGTCAGTGGGTCTTCGACGACTATAAGGGAACACACTTTTATGGGTCGTCGTCGACTTTGGGGTATTTTCTTGTACAGTTTTGCTTCTCATGATTGCTAATCGGAAGTCAATACTTTCTTCCATCTCTCTCATGGCTTCTTCTTCTTCGTCTCGCATCAGGAGATACCAAGTCTTTTCGAGCTTCCACGGTTCAGATGTGCGTAAAGGGTTTCTCAGTCATCTACGCTATCACTTTGCGAGGAAAGGTATCACCACTTTCAACGATCAGGAGATCGAGAGAGGCCACAAAATCGGACCTGAACTCATACAAGCGATTAGAGAATCTAGAGTCTCAGTCGTAGTGCTATCTAAGAAGTATGCTTCTTCTAGCTGGTGTTTGGATGAATTGGTTGAAATCTTGAAATGCAAAGAAGCTTTTGGACAGATTGTGATGACTATTTTTTACGAAGTTGATCCCTCCGATGTACGTAAACAGAGGGGAGACTTCGGGAGCACTTTTGAGGAGACTTGTCAAGGGAAAAGTAAGGAGGTGAAGCTGAGATGGATCAAAGCTTTGGAACATGTTGCAACCATTGCTGGAGAACACTCTCTTAATTGGTATGTCTGAATGAATTAGTGCTTTTATCATCTTTCTCAAGCAATGCTCTGTTTTTTTTTTAAGACCCTCTTTCTGTTGCTTTTGTTAGGGCTAATGAAGCAGAGATGATCCAAAAGATTGCTACAGATGTTTTAAACAAACTGAATCTTACTAAACCATCAAGGGATTTTGAGGGGATGGTGGGGATGGAAGCTCACTTGACAAAACTGGATTCTTTGTTATGCCTCCAGCGCGCTGATGTGAAGATGATTGGAATTTGCGGTCCTGCAGGGATTGGTAAGACTACCATTGCTAGAGCTTTATACAATCAACTCTCTAGTAGTTTTCAGCTTCAATGTTTTATGGGGAACCTCCAGGGAAGTCTTAAGAGCAGAATGGGTGTTGATGACTATGATTGTAAGAAGTCTCTGCAAAGCCAACTTCTGTCTAAGATTTTGAACCAAGAAGGTATGAAGATAGATAATTTAGGTGCAATAAGAGATCGGCTACAAGATCAAAGAGTGCTCATCATTCTTGATGATGTAGATGATCTAGAGCAATTAGAGGTTTTGGCTAAAGAACCTTCTTGGTTCGGTTCTGGAAGTCGAATCATTGTCACTACAGAAGATACGAAGATTTTGAAGGCAGTTGGGGTTCGGGATATCTACCATGTTGATTTTCCGTCCATAAGAGAAGCTCTTGAGATATTATGTCTCTCCGCATTCAAGCAAACTTCTATACAAGATGGTTTTGAAGAGCTTGCATATAAAGTAGCAAAGCTTTGCGGTTATCTTCCATTAGGCCTTTGTGTCGTGGGTTCATCTTTGCGTGGGGAGAGCAAGCAAGAGTGGGAACTTCAATTATCTAGGATCGAAGCTAGTCTTGATAGAAAAATTGAAGACATTTTAAAAGTGGGATATAACAGATTGTCGAAGACAAATCAATCTCTATTTCTTCACATTGCATGCTTCTTCAACAATGAAGACGTTGGTCATGTGCTATCTATGCTTTCTGACAGTAACTTGGATGTCGGAAATGGTTTAAAGACCCTAGTGGATAAATCTCTCGTGCATATATCTACGGATGGGCATATAGTGATGTACCATCATCTACTTCGACAATTGGGTAGACAGATAGTTCATGAACAGTCTGAGGATGCTGGGAAACGTCAATTTTTAATTGAGGCCGAAGAGATTCGTCATGTACTGACAACCGAAACGGTAAGTTCAAGTTCTTACATATATATTCTTCCTAATATTGCCTACTTTTAGTAATAAAATTTCATCAGTCGTCTTTGGCAATATTTTTTGGTAGGGTACTGGATCTGTAATAGGTATATCATATAATACATCCAATACCGGAGAGCTTTCTGTAAGTAGGGGGGCTTTTGAAGGAATGTGTAATCTCCGATTCTTAAGAATCTATCGGTCTTTGTTTAGTGGCGAAGGTACTTTGCAAATACCAGAAGATATGGAGTATTTACCTTGTCTTAGGTTACTACATTGGGATCGCTACCCGAGAAAAAGTCTGCCTGCAAAATTTCACCCGGAACATCTCGTCGAAGTTCATATGCCATTTAGCAAACTCGAGAAGCTCTGGAGAGGAATCCAGGTTGGTATTTGATATAGTTAAGATATTACTTGTTGTGTTTAACTTGCAGCCCTTTCCTAATCTAGATAAGATATTTCTCATTTGTTGTGTTTGACATGCAGCCGCTTCCTAATCTCAAGAGCATTGATCTGAGCTTTTGCTGTAGATTGAAAGAAATCCCAAATCTTTCAAATGCTAGAAATCTCGAGACGTTGAAACTTACGAAGTGTGCAAGTTTGGTGGAGCTTCCCTCCTCTATTTCGAATCTACACAAACTGAGGAAGTTAAATATGAGGGGCTGCGCTAAGCTACTAGTTGTTCCAACCAACATCAACTTAGCATCTCTTGAAAAAGTTTACATGAGTTATTGTTCGCAATTGAGAAGTTTTCCAGATATCTCGAGTAACATTAAGACACTCCGTGTCGGAAAAACAAAGATAGAAGATGTCCCTCCATCAGTTGCTGCATGTTGGTCTCGTCTTGAGTGCCTTGAGATTGGCAGCAGAAGCCTCAAGAGATTAACACTTGCCCCGCTAAGTTTAACATCCCTAGATCTTAGCGACAGTGATATAAAGAGGATTCCAGATTGCGTCGTAAGTCTCCCGCATCTTGTAGTTCTTAAAGTCGAACGCTGCCCCAAACTCGTGACAATTCCAGTTCTTCCCCCCTCGCTCGAGTCCCTAAATGCAAACGAATGTGCATCACTGGAGAGAGTATGTTTCTCTTTCAATAACCCATTCGAGCTACTCACATTCTACAACTGTTTGAAACTGGATGAAGAAGCAAGAAGAGGAATCATGCAACAATCAATTATCGAGTATATATGCTTACCAGGTACAGAAATCCCAGCAGAGTTCACTCACAAAGCTACAGGAAACTCCATAACCATCCCTATGGCTCCGGGTACTCTTTCTGCTTCCTCAAGGTTTAAGGCGTGCTTTCTGATTTTGCCAACTATTGGCTCCCGATATCATGGTATAAGTTGTATTCGAACAAGCAAAAGAGGTGTTGCAATGAAAATCTGCGACTTGGCACAGTTTACAGCTCGGTCTCCTCCATCGAAACATCTGTTTATATTTCATGGTAACTTGTATCATAAACGAAACAGATGCTTTGGAGTGGATGTGACTATGAGAGAGATTATATTTAAGTTCAACTGCGTCTTCGATGAAAATATTATCGAGTGTGGTGTACAGATCATAACAGAGGAAGCTGAGGGTAGCAGCAGCAGCGAATTGGAGGACTTTGAAACTGAGAGTAGCAGCAGCAGCGAAGTGGAGGACTTTGAAACTGAGAGTAGCAGCAGCGAAGTGGATTCCTAGAACTGATGGCAACAACCACCACACAGATGGAGATGGAGATGAAGACTATGAAAATGAAGGTTTAAAGTTATCTCAACTTGAAAGCACCAAAACCAGTAAACATACAAGTTGTTGGAGTTGGTTTACGAAGAATGGTCTGAGAAAAAAGATGAATAAGACAAGAGCGAATGCTCGGGGAGTCTCATGAGACCAAGCCAATTCCAGTACTTTCTTAGCTCCTTCACCATCTCATAAATAACAGTTGGAGCCTGATGATGAAAACGTCCTTTGTTATTGGTTTTTTTTTGGGAAGCTTAATCTTGGGTAGAAGAAGAATACAAAACCTGCATCTTAGGAAACAAAAAAAAATGGAAGAAGTGCATCTATCAAGTGTTGAACGTTTACCACTTCTTGAGTGGCTTCGTTTAGGCAGCAGAAACGTCAAGAGAATAACACTTACCCCGGAAAGCGTAAGGCATCTGGACCTAAGCTATTGTGGTATAGAGAGGATTCCAGATTGCGTCATAGGTCTCCCAACTAGAAAGTCTTTTAGTCTACAAGTGCAGACAACTCATGTCACTGGAAGGTCTTCTCCCTTCACTCAAGTACATTGATGTAAGCAATTGTGGATCACTCGAGCGAGTATGTTTCTCTTTCAATGATCTAATCAGGCACCTCATGTTTCACAATTATTTTAATCTGGATGAAGAAGCCAAAAGAATGTATGGTTACCAGGTAGAGAGGTTC